AAATAAGGAGAGTCATGACATGTGCTATTATTCTACTGACTCTACCTTCCCGCCAATTCTTATGCCGTTTATTGTCAGGGTAAATTTATGATCTAAGAAAAAAGTTAACTTTAATAATTTGGACATGAGACTTGCGAATGGACAGGGTTATGCATATTCAATATATACTGAAAAACAGGTTTTTAAATCTTTTTATGTGGAGTAGTAGGTACTCCCATCCTAGCTTCGAAGTTTCGCTTGTGTTCTAAGAAATCGTCATTTATCTAATATTTTTTTTCGGCATTTCGAATTTTTGTTGCAAGAGAAGAATAAGAGAATCTATATCTAATTCATTTCTGATAGTATTGAAAGACTCTGCAATTAAACTTTGATTGACATTCTCATTAGATGTATGATTTTGGCGAAGGCCCGTCGTCAAAATACAAAAATATTGAAGCATAAAATATTTTGGATCATGGGAAACAAAAATTATTTTAATAAAGAATTACGTATTTTAGCTCTAAGAATAGATTGATCTTTATTTATTTATATAATAAGGTATTTCATATTTTTTCTAAAAGGTGGATAATACTTGACATGTCTTATATATTAAAACGTACGAAAAAATTCTCTAGCATATATTTATCTCTTCGTGACTTTCGAAGGTGATGGCTTTGTTTGAATAATTTCATTATATTTCCTTTTCAAAATCTGTACAGAATCAGCATCATATTCTGTTGTCACGTTATTTTTTGTTTCTACTTTAATGATCATCTATAACAGAATTAATTTAGAATAGGTCAAGATATTCATAAAATTATAAAATGTAACTTACCATAAATTCCAATAACCTTAGTATACCTGATTTCATCTCTGAAATCATATTTGGATTAGAAGTAATGTTTAAACTTCCATATTCTTCATATACATATACTCCATCTTTCCACATTATAAGCATTTTGATTTCGAAGAGATAACCCAATATTCCGAAAACAGACCGATTATTGTAATTCATGTCACCCTTTCCCATGGCCCGTAAAATTCTAACATTTAAACAATCTCTCATTTCTCTATACAATTTAAAAGAATCGGTTGCTAGTTTTGTTAAATCACATTGAGTGGGGGGTCCGGCTTGTTCTCCAACAAAAATTTCTTCACCCGTTTTCCACATCCACGCCAACAAGTCCGCAGATTTTCCATCAACTACTCTGTCTAAGATATGATTATATCCATAATTTTTTCGATACTTCGAGGCCTGTACGGGAACTTCCATGCTAAAATAAAAGTAAATTTAACATAACATAATTTTGAAAACAATATTATGATAGCTTAATTAAACTTAATGCCTACGCCCTCCAATCAAGACCTACAAATTCTTGTAATGCCCTTGAGAAAAAACGATGTCCAAATTCTGACCAATAATGATGCTCACTGCTGTTTGGAGCACTAATATCTGGGACCGGTTTTGAGAATGATTCGATCCTATAAATATAAGATGTTAGGAATAATAGGCAATTAATAGCGAGAAACCTCGAAAAGCACTTACAATGGAAGCATAACT